TTACGTAAAATAAATAACAAAATGGTGAAGCCAAAATTGTGAAATGGATTGCACTGCTTATTTATTACAAATTAAGTCAAAACCTCTTCTTGTCTCCTTCTTCTGGACTCAATCTCGTGGTGTATGTTATTTTTTTCAGAATTGTGTCTCGTCCCACCTGTATTGCTGACACTTTCAAAATGTTATGGGTGTGAATAAATATAATTTTAATATTTCAATAGTTTTCTTATGTAAACAACTGTTATAGAATTGCACTCGTAAGTGTTATAAGTGAAAACAATGATCTAGATTGGATAAGTAGCTTTCTTCTGCCCATTCTGATGACATAATGTGGATAGTCTTTGTTGCCATTTTTCACGATTATATAAAATGTCCCACCAACGATTGTGTACCCTTTTTTATCACAGTAAACTATAATATTGTTTATTGGCCCATCTTTACTATGCGCGGGCTTGCATCTCCATAAAAATGACTCTTATTCGGCCTGGATGAGGGCCTTCTCCTGCTTATTTCCATGGAAATAATATGTATAAGAATTATCTATCACTGTATGACATTAAATTATCAGTGTGTATGCAAAAATGTGTTGAACTATAGTCTAAATTTTCTATTTCCAGAAAATGCACGTGCCATGTCACTTTAAATCTATTTAGTTAGATTTAGTTTTGCTATAATTCAGTTGCTTTTTTCTTTTCTTTTCTTATTTAAATTGACTGATTTTGGTAAGAGGAAGTGTGGTATCCTCTCTCTTTGTATTGACTTCGTGTTTTGTCAGTTTTTTAAATTATTACACACAACTGGGTACGCAAACATGATACAACAAACATGGCTGTGTGTCATCAGCAGTTACATGTCTGGATCAGGAATCATAAAAACATCATATCATATAATAACAAAGATTATAATAATAATAGAAAAAAAACATAAAAGCTTATTTGCATAATAATACAAAAAAATTAATGAGGGGAAATAGAGTTCATTCAGCCTGAGTCCATGGAGTCCAAGGGAATTTCACACATGTGGGAGTACACTTTTTGAGCTTTAGTTCCATTAATATATTTCAGAGATTTTTTGCATAATTTAAGTTTGTTTTTAAAATAAGTAAAGTTAGGGGGACACTTCTGAGTTTTACATTTGGGGATATAAAACTTGGCAAGACATAATATAAAATTTGCAGAGTTCTTCTTATTCATATTGAATTAGTACACCAAAAATGTATTCAGTTGCTGAGTTACGGCAAATAGTATTAGTTAATTAGCGTTGTTAACATGATATAGCAAAACCAAATTGAGTCAAACCAAGTCCCTTGCGAAATGTCTCCATGTTTGTGTTTTACTTTGACGCACCATCTCACAGAATTACACTGCCGTATCTATGTGTATCTGTGTGTATCTATGTGTATCGTTAGGACCTAATAGTGATGTGATTACACAGATTGCCCTTTGAAAGCTGCAGTACTTTCCCACAGACTGCCCCATTATAAAACACGCGATGATGGATGCAGATCAGAATGGATGTTGACAGTAAACGCCTCACCGCCTCTTATTGATAAAGTTATTAGGTCCAAACCTGTAGCGTGGAGCCTGAGGGGTTAATGCATTATGCACAGAGCTCATGTCCAAAGGCAGATGGAAGTAACTCAGTCTCATTGATTTCATATTATCCCATTAGAGACGACTGCCCTCCCTTCGCCATCCATCAGTGCTGCAGCTAATCATCACCAGCCAACGTCGCATTGTAGTATTTGCTTGGTTCAATGTAGAAAAGCACAAATGAAATGAAAAGGACCGTACCAGGTTTTGTTTCATGTAGTAAAAATAAAATTAGCTTTGCCCATAGACTGTTTAAACTAAGACTAAGAGAGTGTGACGGTTTCGGCTCCAGTCAAATGAATCTCATGACGCTAGGTGCAAATTTGGAAGCAGGTCCATATTAGAAACAGGCATCGATTCATAAAATAGCAAAATAAAAACACCAGGATCACATAGAGCGGGTTAATACGAACATTTTAAGACCTAAATGACGAGGTTCATTGCAGCAGTGAGAAAACAGAGTGAGGGGTGATAGATTTTCAATGTAATCAAAAGGAAATTGGAGCCAGAGTCGATGAAGCCAAAACCGTCCCCATGAACACTTCCTATCTGGAATGTGGCGGCCAGTGGGTTAGCTATGTCCAGTTACCGTATTTTTCAGACTATAAGGCGCACTTAAAATCCTTTAATTTTCTCAAAAATCGACAGTGCGCCTTATAATCCAGTGCTCCTTATGTATAAATTCTGGTTGTGTTTACTGACCTTGAACCGATTTTTTTTTTGTGGTACACGGCGCTCAAAAATCTGTCAAAATGTTTCAGTACGACTTTGGTAAGCTACGAAGCCCCACCGCTTGATGGATTGTTGGAGCATTTATGGCTACTGTAGTCAGGAGCCTCGCGGAGTAAAGGGCGAAGTATAGTTCTGCGTCAACTCTGCACACTGATGCCATCGCCGTGTTGCCTTTGTCACAGAAAGAACACACACAATGCATTAAGTCGTGTTCTTTAGGCGACAGAAACTGACCACAAGGAGAGAGCTGTTTTTTCAATGCTTATAGTTTATGCAAATTACCCGTGTGGTTTTAAGTTTTGTTTCTGTAAAACGTAAACAAATGTGTGCAAAGCTGCATTAAACACATTATTACTCAATGTATATTTGAGTCCTCCTCATAGGAAATAAAAAAACAAACAACTTGAATTATCCACCCACATTCACATTCATAATACACATTCACCAAGACAGTGAGGCAACGATCTGACAATGGATCGTGGACGCCTGGGTTAAGGGATCGGTCTCAAGTGTCGTCCGTTTGTTTCTCTTAATGCGCCTTATAATCCGGTGTGCCTTTTAATCTGAAAAATACAGTATATATAATTACGGTCTATGGTTTCACCTCTTTACAGCTGTATTGTAAAAGCAGTTCTAAAATGAGGCCATTGTGTCCCATCTGCAAATGATTATAGTGTTTTTTACTCGTCCTTGAACCAGGAAATAATGCTGTCGCTGTTAGCATGCTAGTTGTTATTTGCATTACCGTGATGGCAAATCTGCGCTCTGTCCTCCGAATGTGTTTGGAAAGAATGAAATAATTAGACCAATGCAGACTAGTTTTTTATGTGTTCATCTATTTTCCATTAATAATTTAAGTACATGTTTGTATTATGTATTATTAATTATTAATTGTCTTATCTCATGGTGCGGTATCAATTATATTAGTGAGGTCTACTTTTATTGTAGAGTTGCTACGTGCCACAGCCATATTGTTCCATGTTGATGCAATTAGTAGGGCTGTGCAAAAATATTGATATATCGTTATATTGTATCGTTTAATGTGATGATACAGTATCGATATCGTGGGCTGCTGTATCGATATATCACCAATAGGGATGGGCATTCGATGAAATTTTCTTAATCGATCGTCGGAAGAATTAATGATCGATTATCGATTAATCATTAACGTTTTTATATTAAAATGATCATATTATTACTATCTGCACTACTAATCTGCATAAATAAATTCAACTTTACGACATATAAACCGTAACGACTCTAGAGCCACATCAGCCCGTTTGACATTATAATGTGTTTAATTCAGTTTTGCGCAACTCTCACAGAAACAAAACTTAAAACCGCATCGCTAATTTGCATAAACTCAGCGAAGATAAAACTACAGCTCTTGTGTCGCTGATGCGGTCAATTTCTGTCGGATTAAAAGACATGATTCAGTGGAATACAGGTTAGTGTGACCATATTTGCGTTTGTCAAAACCAGGACACCGTACGGGGGGAGGGAGGTGGGGACTCGTCATCGACATTGCGCGACTCTCACCTGGTAAAACTTTTTCCCACTGGACATCGAAACATATGCTGCTTTGTACACTGTGCACAAGGCCTCACACTTGTCCCGAACGCAACAGAAAGCGTGGAATTTCTTGTACAAATCATCGTTAAATACACATTTGTTCTTCGGTACGCTGCAGACTGACCGACTGTTTGTGTCTCGCTCCTTCTGAGTGCAGAGAGACACATGTACGAACCCTGTTTGGTCACGCTACGCACAGCAACCTACATTCGGTTTGTCGATTAAAATGAACGTAATCGATGAAATTCTTAATGATCAATTATCGATTAATCGATTAATCATGCCCATCCCTAATCACCAAGAGTACTATGGGGTATATTTTCACTTAATTATTTTGTTACAGCACTACAGTTTTGTTGCTTGTTCAGAGGAAGGAATCTTTTTTTATGCAACACATTTGGCATTTTCACTGTTTCGATGATTAAAATGGGCATTTTTCAGATGAACTTTGCACAAGAAGTGGTTTAACAAACACTTTCAATATCAGAGCCATGATTTAGCTTTTGTTTTTTATTGAACCGTATCGAATCGATTTGGAATATATCGTATTGAACCGAAAGTGCACTGTATCGAGATATGCATCGTATGGCCTATGTATCGTATCGGCAACTTCTTAATGATACCCAGCCCTAGCAATTAGAAGTTCTTTGTGATGTTTAGTAGTTTAATTTTCAACAAGAAAAGGTGAGAATAACTAAATCTGCTGGCTAGCCTGTGACTGTAATGTTATACGAGAGCGAACAGCATAAATCATCTCAGCTGTTGTAGTTCCTTGTAAGTCACTTGTTTATGGTCAGATTGTGTTAGACTTTGATCCGGGTTTAATTTTAACTTGAGTAACAGAGCTTCAGACATGGCAGTGTCTACAAGTTAGCATCACATCCCCAGGAAATGTTGATGACGACAGCTGCAAAATATCATGGTATCATGTTTGTCGTTACATAACTTATGGCTATTTGCTGCTATTGTTTGAGGATTTTTTTACAAAATTGTTTATTTACAATGCTACAGTTTTGGTGCTTGTTAGTGGAGGAAAACTCTTTTATGCGACACGTTTGACATTTTCACTGTTCTGATGAGTAAAATGTTTGTGTTCCATTTGTTTGTGTGTGAAAAGAGCTCTATAAATAACGTTTGATTGATTGATTCATATTAACTTTGCACAAGAAGTGTTTTACAAAGATTTTTAGTATCACATATTCAGTGTTGGGAAAGTTACTTTTTAAATGTATTCCCCTACAGATTACAGATTACATACCTCAAAATGTAGTTTGTAACATAATCCATTTAAATTACTTAAAGTGAGTAACGTAATCTGAATACTTTGGATTACTTGATTTGCTGTAGAGAAGCAAAGACAAGGATACTTAACCGTATTAAAAATATTATTGATAGAAGAGGAGGAGACACATCCGCGCAGCAGGGTTTAGTCCTGTTAAATCCTGTTTTAGTCCTGGTTTAGTCCTGGTTTAGACCTGGTTTAGATCTAGTTTAGACCTGGTTTTAGTCCTGGTTTAGATCTAATTTAGACCTGGTTTAGATCTAGTTTAGACCTGGTTTAGATCTGGTTTTAGTCCTGGTTTAGACCTGGTTTTAGTCCTGGTTTAGATCTAATTTAGACCTGGTTTAGATCTAGTTTAGACCTGGTTTAGATGTGGTTTTAGTCCTGGTTTAGACCTGGTTTTAGTCCTGGTTTAGATCTAATTTAGACCTGGTTTAGATCTAGTTTAGACCTGGTTTAGATGTGGTTTTAGTCCTGGTTTAGACCTGGTTTTAGTCCTGGTTTAGTTTCCAGCAATGAGTGGAATTACAGAAAAAATAAAAAAAATAAATAAAAATCAATCAATAAATAAAAAAATAATAAAATAAAAACAAAAATAAAAATAATTTATTTCAACAAAGTAACTGTAATCCAATTACCACTCATTGAAACAGTAACTGTAACTGAATACAGTTACTCATAATTTGTACTCTGATTACGTAACTCCAGTACATGTAATCTGTTACTCCCCAACACTGCACATATCAGCATTGTCTTTTATCACTCGCTACACTGGATTAGCATTTTCGTCTGTACCAAGTTTTGGAAAAGACACAGAATCTTTCAGGTTTAAGTTGAAAGAATTTTCACCCTCTTCTCTGGAAGTAACTGCGGGCTGCTCACCACTGGAAGTCACTGGTAGCGTCTGATGAAGTCCTTGTTCAGTTTCTAAAGCAAATATCCGTGCTTGTAGCTCATTAATTTCTTGTTCAGAGTTCCGAAAGCGCTCACAGATAGAATTCCCTTGGTTTCTTCCCCCCAACATGTTGCCGGCTCATCAGATGATTTGTTAAAAAATTTAAAAATGGTTTAGAAGTATTGATTTACTTGAAAGGATATCAAAAATAGACACATTATCCGGTGTTGGAGGAGGTAAATTGATTGATTAAAAAGCAAAGTAAAGAAGGAAACGGCCGGAGCCAGCAACGATAGCGTCCGCACGCTTCAGAAGCAGGAAGTACTTCAGAAGAATTTAGCCATTTTTTTTTACCTCCGCCAAGGAGGTTATGTTTTTTCCCGGCATTTGTCTGTTTGTTTGTTTGTCTGTTAGCAACATAACTCAAAAAGTTATGGACCGATTTTGATAAAATTTTCAGGATTTGTTGGAAATGTGAAAAGGAAGAACTGATTTCATTTTGGGGGTGATCCGGAAGAAATCCTGGATTCTGGATCACTTTGAAATTTTAGTTAACATTGTGGTAAATGGGGCCAAAAAATTTGTTTCTCAATATCTCGGGTAATTATTGACCAAACCCCATGAAATTTGACTCAGGGATGGACAATGGGATCCTCTTTCATATTCCAAAGGCTGATCCGGATCTGATCCAGAAGACTGATTTTATCGCAATTTATATAAAAAATGGGGGTAGTCCTTGGCGGAGGTCTGCGCTCTCTGAGTGCTTTTCTAGTTTTTTTATTGAACCGCATTGAATCGATTTGAAATATATCGTATTGAATTGAAAGTGAACTGTATCGAGATATGCATCGTATCGTGGCCTACGTATCGAGGTATGTATCATATTGGTGACTTATTAATGATACCCAGCCCTAGCCACCTACTACAATCATTAATCTTATCTCATTTTTCTCTTAATTTGTAGTAGGGATCAAATATATTGGTGATTTTTAGCTCTACTGACCTTGCATGCTGTTATTTGAAATACGGAAATAAGGTTGTAATTCCAATGGCTAATTCGGAAACGTTTGTGTACATTGATGTATTATTGCATTTTTCCTTTCCAAAGCTGTATTCAAGCTCTGAACTAAAGGTAAAAGGAGCTGAAACCTTTCACTACATGATATCACAAGGCAGAACAGAGTATTTTGAGCTCTGGAGATGCAGACAAAGGTGTAATAAAGAAACGTGTGAATGAAACAAAACACGACTCCAGGTACAGTATGATTTGGATGAGGAAGCAACTGTAAAACATGGCTTAAATCTCACAAGAGTCAATTTTGCGTAATACAGGGCCTTAAAATATTGGTTTACTTGGATTATCTTGCTTTGAGTCACTGGCAGTTGTTTATTTATAGTTTCAGTTTTGTTGTTTATCGTAGTATTTCTCTGTAGTGATCGAAAAAAAACGGTTCTTGCATTTGTTGCGAAAGACACAACCTCACTAACATGAGACCAAAATCAAGTCAACATACCTCGTGAATTGCCTGGCTGCTATTTTTATAATGTGGCGTTCAGTAGGGCTTTTGATACTGTCTTATCCACACATTACCGCTGTTGCTGCTGCTGCTGGCTCTTCTAAAAGTCTTAATTCCCCAGTCTGTCTGCTATCACATAAGAACACTCTGTTTCGATGAGTCACCACGAGCACTGGCTGTGAAACAAAAATGGCTCTTATGAAAGATGTAGCTCAAGTAACATCGTTGGGGATGTGCTAAATAAGTATCTGCCAGGGTAAAAACTGTTCCGCGGATTTAAGAATGGAGCAGAGCGGGAGTCGTTTAGGAACATGGATTGGGTTGTCAACGGTATCGAAAATCAGATGCCAATCGATACTAGAACTAATCTAAAACAGAAGAACTTCTGTAATAGAAGTGGACTGACGGAGTTTGACGCCGTCCATAGCGTTCAGTTGCAGCCAAACGAAGATCAGGGAGGCTAGCAGTTATAGAGGCTGATTTGCAACCTGTGCCATATTTAGAAATCCGAGCGCAAAACCAAAAAGACAATCAGGAGCAAGGGTGCTGAAGGTACAGGGGGCAGGCGCTTAACAATGCTGTCAATCAAACCTGTTGCTGGCACTAAAGCCGGGCATACACTGCGATTTTTGGCCCTTTTTTGAGACAATTTTTCACTTGTGGGACTGTTTTTGGGGATCGGGCTGAGTTTTGGCTTAACTATGTGTTGTGCTTCGTGTAGTATACTAGTCAGACTGGCGCAACCTAGTGCCTCTGCTCAATTTCATTTCTCTCCAGCAACTAGGTCAGGAATCGGAATACACTAGACGTTTTGCAAGAACCTCGGAAGTTGTAGATTGCGTGCCGGCCAATCAGCGAAGAGCTGTGAGGCCATGATATCAAACTCAAGCGCCCGTCTGGATCCCTGTTTTGGTACAGCACAACAGTAAACAAAGTAAACAAATGTAGACGAAGACAGACATTCTGTGTTGGCAACGATTCCCGAGATCGAGGATTTAAAGACGGAACAAAGAGAATGTTTAGTGAATTTTATCAAGGGGAAAGACATTATTGCCCTTCTTCATACGGGATTTGGCGCATTATATACATCATGACCAAAGGGCAGTGATTTGAATAAATAAAAAAAGTACCCACCCACCATTGAGTGAACGAATCCTAATGCTGCGAGGTCAGACAGTTTCCACGAAGTGAAATCAGCTGATGAATCAGACTAGTAGTATACACGGGGTAACGAGAATCGATTAATACCTCACGACCAGCTCCCGATCGGCAATCGTAGGTCGCAAGAATATCCAACCTGTTTGAAAACCAGTCGAGCTGTGAACTTTTAAACCCTGCGATTTGGTTGTACACTTTGAGCTGGGGCTAAGTGAAAAGATCAAAAATATCGCACAGTGTATGTCTGGCATAACGGGAGCGACCTTGGAAAACAGGCACTGAATTGGTCTGTTATTAATGTTCATATTTTTAATTTATGGATAAAATAGTGAAATAAAGCCCCCAGAATCTTTTAGAGCAGGTTAATACGAACATTTTAAGACCAAAATGTCAAGGCTCACTGTAACATTTAGAGAGAGGGGCGAAGATTTTTCAGTAGAAGTCAATTGCAACCAGAGCTCGAAGGAACCACTTCACGCCCATACATTTTATGATCGAAACTAGATACTTACTATATTTTAATAATATGGTACTGTTCACATTTGAAAGGATTTGACTAAAAGACTGAAACAAGCGTCACGTTTCAGAACATGTTTGTACAGATCTAATCTACAGGGTTTAAGCAGAATAAAAACACAATTGAGGGATTAAACACTGGTCCATGTTCAAATTGCGACTGGGATTTTGATTTGATTTTGATTTATTGTGCAGCTCTAGCTAGAATGACACATAAAAAAAGAAAATATTTGTGTAATCTTTAGAGGAAAAAATGATTAAGTCTCCCTTTTGTTATATACAGTACTTTATATCAAATGCAGTGGCGCAATAACGTGGCCAGCGAGATGAATTCTTGGCAATGTCTGTCTTCACAAACTCTCAAGAATCCATCTGGCTGGGCTCCCGCTGTTGCGATTTGGCCCAGACCACAATGGTTCGGAGACCGGACCAATCACGTAGCAGCATTGTGGTTTGGGAGCGAGCCAAAGGTGAAGCGCCCAAACGAACCAATGGACGTAAATCAGCCTATTTTAGCAGAAACGCTGACTATGTAGTTCTTTAGGGAAGTGCTTTGTGCATTTGTGGCAAGAAAGATGTATGTGTATTTCTCAAGTGGATGTAACTAAAGTTAGAGTTCGATTTGTTCCTCTGTTGTGACGCTTCGGCCAATCAGATTCAGGTATTTATCAGTTTTTGCCTCACACCGATAAATGTTAGTACAGTTGTCCTTTAGTCCAGTGTTTCCAAAACATTTTTTATGAGGACCCATATTTTTAAAGTCACAAACCTTCGCGACCCAAGTCAATATACATTATTCGTGAATCACATAATAAAGGAGGATTTGACCATTATTGAACATTAATGTGGACATTTTATTTTTGACTGAATGATCATGTCTCTCTGAACAATTAGTATTACTCAGGTTTTAAAGGATCAAAACAGTCATTGAACCAGCAATAAAAGGATCCATAAGTCGCCTTTTTGGACCTTAAATGTAGCCCATTTCTTTTTCTTTTCAACATTCAATTGAACCAGCAATATTGGAACAAAATAGTCAATAAAATAATTCACAAAAAGATTAAAAATTATACAAAACACATGTGTCAGAACTGTATATTTCAGACCAACATGCCGATCGTGACAAGGCAACCCCAAAAAAATCTCTTGGGACTCACCTGCGGGTCACGACCCAGTCTTTGGGAAACAGTGTTTTAGAGGATGTTAACTTTACATGGACATTACTGACTGCGACTAGCGTTGTCACTCGATTTGATACTCAATACCGATTCTGATACCGCAGTGACAGATTCTGTAGACAAAAGCATGTGATTTTCAACATTAAACCACACCAGACAGGTTCCGTAGTGGTCCATGGGTGTGTACACGTCTATGTGGTCTTAGACTTTTTCTGATACAGCTCAAGATCATTCTAAAGCTATTCAGGAAAGGTCCATTTCTGTCCTGTGAATGTGACATTTTAGCATCGATACCTGCTCAAATGATGATGAGTTCAATACTAGTTTTAGTATCAATTAGTCTTTGGTTTTCAAAACTTTAGCCCTGCATCGGTGACTTAATGTGTTTCCATATGGTTCACTGTTACGATGATAGACTCCACTTTGGTTGGATACATGTTAGGGCTGCTCAATTATGAAAAAAAAAAAAAAAATCATTATCACGATTATTTTGGTCAATATTGAAATCATGATTATTCAGACGATTATTTTTTAGTTACACCATTTATTCAGCATTTCTCTCTCAAAAAATACACTTTGTTGTTGATAATTTACGCAAAACTTTCACATTGAAAATAAATATATTCTACAAATGTGTACCTTAGAGCAGTTCTGTGATGTATAAAACATAAAATGAATAAAACATACTTTGAACACGAAATAAGGCATAAAAAAAACATAAATGTATCCAAAATAAACTATATATCCAGCTGTTCTACAATCTCTATATTTAAAAAAACTAAATAAATACACACACAAATTGAAATCACAATCAAATTTAATTTAATTTATTGCACGGCCTTAACACGTGTTTACACCTGACTGCTGTTGTTGTGAAGCAGCGTCTTGAGCTCCCGCGTGGCCGATAATACTGCGCCGTACAATTATTGGCTCATTGACTCAGACATTGAAAAACCAGGTACTGAAAGTCGAACTAATTTGTCACGTGGAAATCGCTCTCCTGCCTGAACATTGTGGCTCCGTCTGCAGCTAAAGGTCATTTAGGTTTAAATAATTCTAAAGTGTCTCACAAATGGCGACGCGTTACATAATATCACGGCTCTGACTGGAGACACCATGAGAAAGCCTGATTACACTGATTGCATCTTTCTGTTACATTGTACAGACGTCCTTGTCGCTCGACATGGAAATACACCCTCCTCTGCCATCTGTTACGGGTTTATTGTGGACAGAAACAACATGAGCTGGGAATAATTGTTCAGCTCATCACTAAAAATAGCCTTTTTAACGTATCGGCTATCAGACTTAAATCTCCAACAAAGGCCGACATTTTGTTTTGGTCCCTAATAAAAACAATCTAAATAAAAAACAAAAAACTGTTGCTCGGTATTCTTAACAATCAGCATCAGCCACAGAAAAAAACAAAACAAAAACATCTCAGTCGGTCTGTACTCATACATTATTGCAAATGTATTGTTTTGTGTTTTTGTCTTCCCAATAGAGCTGCAAGATTAATCGAAATCGAATCGAAATCGCAATTTGAATGGGCGCAATGAGCAAATCATAAAAAATGAACATTCAGAAGTACTATTATTTCCGCCACAAAGTCTCTGCTTAGATCTGTACTAGAGATGGACCCATATTTGCACCTTTTAGCGTAACGTCTGTCGGCCGTAAATCTCCAACAAAAGCCTACATTTTGTTTTGCTGCCTAATAAAAAGTATCCAAATACATTTTAATGAGAAAAATATCGACAGACTTTATAGGCCATCAGTTACTCGGTACTTTAAACAATCGATATCGGCATCAACCACAGAAAAAAACCCATTACTCTCATTACTTTACTGCATATTTATGGTTTTGTGTTTTATTTTCCTAATAGAGCTGCAAGATTAATCGCACTCAAATCGAAATCGCAATTTGAATAGACCCAAATCACAAAGGATGAAATTTTAGAAGTACTATTGTTTCCGCAACAAACGACAGTCTCTGTTTAGATCTGTAATAGAGATGGACCCATATTTGCACCTTTTATCGTAACGTCTGTTAGTCTCAAATCTCCAGCGAAGACCGACATTTTGTTTTGCTGCCTAATAAAAAGAATCTAAATGAATTTTAAAAAGCAAAATATCGACAGACCTTATAGACCATCAGTTGCTTTGTTTTCTAAACAATCTGTATCATCGGTCACTGAAAAAAAAAAACATATTTGTTGATCTCTACTCATTACTTTATTGCATAGGTTTTGTTTTGTGTTTTCCCAATAGAGCTGCAAAATTAATCGATGATCAATGAGGAAATTACAAAAGATGAAAATTCAGAAGTACTATTATTTCCAACACAAACAACAATGTCTCTGTTTAGATCTGTACTAGAGATGGATCAATATCTGCACCTTTTAGCGTAACGTCTGTCGGCCTTAAATCTTCAGCGAAGGCCAACATTTTGTTTTGTTGTCTAAATAAAAAGAATCAAAATGAATTTTAAAAAGAAAAACATCGACATCCATCAGTTGCTCTGTATTCTAAACAGTCGGTATCAGCATCGGTCAGAGGAAAAAAAAATAATTTGTCGATCGCTACTTATTAATTTATTGCATGTCTATGGTTTTGTGTTTTTGTTATTTCCGTCACAAACGACGTCTATCGGCCTTAAACCTCCAGCACAGGCCTATATTTTGTTTTGGCCGACCCGCCGCCTGAAAGAATACGCATAAAACTTTATTAAAAAGACCAGTGCGAAAAAATAACTGTGGGTATGAGTTTTTAGTAAATTTATATTGCATAATTTGGTAAAATAATCAAAATCTGCCCAAAAATATCACCAGACCTTATTGGCTCTGTTTCTTGGCCATGAAAAACCCACATTGGTCAATCTCTAATCTGTGCAAACATTTTCTGAAATCCACAGCGTGTCAGTTCGTATTTCAGACTCTTTTGTCAATTTGTCTGGATGCATTTACGATGTTGATATGAAGCAAAATCTTCTCAGAAATACCTGTAAATCACGGGCCAAAACACACAGAACTACAAATACTTGTTTTTATTGCATTATTGTAGTTGTATCATTTTGTACTTTCGTCTTCACTTCGTGCTGTTTAGTCTTTGTGTGGTTTCTCCTTTGTTAACGACCTTGTGTGTGTGTGTGTGTGTGTTCGTGTGTTTCAGGTGCGGAGTGTGCTGCTGCTGACCTCATGGTGTAACAGGAGTAAAGATGAGCATTAGCAGCGATGAGGTCAACTTCCTGGTCTACAGATACCTACAGGAGTCAGGTACTTAATACTACTACTTGTATCACTATTTGTACTCATGGGGTTGGGGTGGAAGGATATTAGATTCACATGGTTACAGAAATGACTCAGTGTTTAATGTAAAATGATCCAGTTTTTTGTTCTTTTTAGTTGCGTCAAGATAACCCAGAAAACCTGTAATGAAAACACATATCATTGTACGCCTTTTTTTTTTCTCTGCATGATTTAGTGTTAGCACGCTGTCTACTGGCAGCAGTGGGATTACACCATGGAAAATTATAAAAATCTACATTCATGCAACGTGATAGCCATTTGTAATGAACATAATTCAATGCCAGAAATTCTCAGAAAAATAATGGGCTTAGAAAGACTTACCTGTGATACAGCAATCCAAGAAAAAAGCTCTTCTTTACTTGATTTAGTGTTGGCGTGCTTTCGACTGGCAGAATTGGGAATGCACCATGGAAAATATGAAAAAAAAAAAACATTTATGCAACGTGAACGGCATGCTAATTTAGGCACGGAGTTATAATGACCATAATCTGATGCCAGAAATTCTCAGAACAATGATTTATGGGCTTAAAAACAGAGCCAGATTTTTACTTGCGACATTAGTGTTTGAACACCGTCTACTGGCAGCAGTGGGAATGACCCATGTAAAATAACAAAAACTAGACTTTTTTTTATGCACCGTGAACAGCATACTAGGTGTGTGCAAAAATATCGGAATATCGATATATCGTGTTGTTTAATGTGATGATACAGTATTGATATTGTGGGCTACTGTATCGATATATCACCAAGAGTATTTTTACGTGTGTTTTACTAAATTATTTTGTTACAGTGCTACAGTTTTGTTGCTTGTGGAGTGAAAGGAAACTCATTTATGCAACACATTTGACATTTTTATACTGTTTTGAGGATTAAAATGTTTGTGTTTCATATGAATTTTGCACAAGAAGCGGTTTAACAAAGCCTTTTAGTATCACAGCCATGATTTAGCCTTTATTTTTTTATTGAACCGTATCGAATCAATTTGAATGTATGGCATCATGGCCTGTGTATCGAGGTATGTATCGTATCGGCAACTTCTTAATGATACCCAGCCCTACAGCATACTAATAGGCAGGCCGCTGTAATGAACAATTTGATGCCAGAAATGCTCATAATGATGATTTATGGTCTTAAAAACTCAGGACTGCAGGATTTTTAACTGTGACGTAACAATCCAGGAAAAATTAATGAGTAATTTCTGAAGCTTAGAGCAGGATACCCAGGTTTTCATTCCCTCCAGACATGTGGGTTATGTTTGCCCGTATTTCTACCCAGTCAAAGCCAGCTCTCCATTTGCTCCACGAAAATTCTGTGTACAAGCTGCATGTAAAATGACTAAGAAAGCACTTCACATTTCCCCAGTACAAAGGAACAATTTTTCCTTCGGCTTTTCACTCCACTCAGCGAGCAGAGAGATGATAGATCCTGTACTCCAAGGGAATATTTGAACAAAAGACATTGGTATTAGAGTGATACCACACTAGCCTAGTATTACTCGAAAATGCATGAAAATAAACACTGGTTTTACCCGTCACCACTGCTTAACTCGCAGTGTTGAGATATTATTAGAGATCAACAGATGTTTTTCCATGGATGATGCTGATACTGATTGTTTAGAATTTAGAGCAACAGATGGCCGATGAGGTCTGTTGATATTTTGGGGCTAATATGTATGGCAGATTTTGACTATTTTTGCCAAATTTTGGATTTTAAATTTACTACAGACTCGCCTATAGTCCTTTTTTAAATCACAGACTTATAGGAGAGCTGTGTGGGCATGTTTGTGCAGATACCTCTTTGTGTTAAGGTGTTCAAAAGGAGCTTTATGTGTATTCTTTAAGCAGCGGGTTAAACAAAGCAGTGTATCAACTTCTGCTTGAGATTTAAGGCCGATTTAAGGCCAGTATGGTCCAAAGAGCAAATATTCACTTGATGTATCGGCCAACCCATATACACTACTGGTCAAAAGTTTCAGAACACCCTGATTTTTCCAGCTATTTATTGCAATTCAAGTCATGCAAGCCCAATGAAGAGCTTGAAATGGAACAAAGATAAGAACTGAACAGCCAGAGGTTAAAACAAAAGATGACAGATACAAAACACAAGTCCAAGCTCTGCCAGAACTGCCTCGGGAATAAAAAGAACAATATGGTAAAGCTTGAAAACATGGAGTGTCCAGCACAGTCTCCAGACTTAAACCGCATCGAGCTGGTTTGGGATGAACTGGACAGAAGAGTGAAAGCCAAACAACCTACAAGTGCCACACATTTATGGGAACTTCTGCAACAGACTTGGGAAGAACTTTCTGAAGAATATTTGATTTCTATTGTAAAAAGAACGAGCCACGAGTGTGTTCAGCTGTTATATCTGCCAAAGGTGGACACTTTCATAAATCAAATGTTTAGAATACGTTTTGTTCAACAGTAAACGTAAAAAGTGCAGATAGAGGGTGCTCTTGGAAAAAGGATCAAACCTTAAACACAACAGGACTCAAGGCACTCCAAAGAAGTAAAAAAAAACAACAAAACAAGTAAACAATCGCATGAGAAAAAATATAGTTAAAAGGCCTTTATTTAAATGGCCAAAGCCAAAATGTTTCAACCTTAACTGGTCTTCATCAGGGCTTAGTTGCTTAGTTGAAGTTGTGTTTTAGTAAAAGGTGTGGTGTTCTAAAACTTTTGACCTGTAGTGTATATCGGTCAATCTCCAGAAATGATTGATAAAAAAAAAAATCTCAACTTCAGTTTTTTTACACTCATGTCCATCACTTGTTGACCTTGTATTCACCCTCTGGAGTTCTGTTTTGACAAACAGACATCTGTCTAAACATTTCCAGTCACCTGTAGGCGATTTAAGCAAGCAAGCAACCACTTGATATTTATTATGCTCATGAGTAAACTCTTCAGGCTATGCTCAGATAATGCAGCTCTGACATATGTCGACAGGGATCTGCTTTTCACTTCAACTTTTAAAAAACGTCGTAATAAATTGAATTGTTTGGTCACAAGTGCCACAGCTGAACACTTTAAATACATTCTAAAATCAGTATTCATTTTATTTTGATTAGAAATGGCGTGTCACTCGGCCTCGCAGTAATAAAGCCACGTTTTGGATTTGATGATGACTCAGACATTGAAAAACAAAGTACCGAACTGTTACTGAACAAATGTTGTTCTTTATACAAGTACGTACTAGTTTTGGTACTCAGCCCTGAATGGTGGAAGGTTACATTATATCACGGCTCTGGCTGGAGACACAGTGGGAAAGGCGGATTTTATGTTTCTGTTACAGAGTACAGACTTCTTTATAACGCTGTGAATTACTACAGTGGAAATACGACCATCTTGTATCGTCTATACTTGTAAATCATGGGCCAAAACATAATGAATGATGGATAGTCGTTGTGCCTATCGCATTGTTATAGTTGTATATTTAGAGCGTTTGTCTTTCAATGTTTTTCTCTCTCTCTCCCTTGGTCTTTAAACTTGCGTCTCCATTATTAAAACCACATGCCGGCTTGATGTTTTTACCATTAAGTGTTAGTGACGTTGCTTAATTTGTGTTGTGATGATTTGCTGTGTGTTCTCAGGGTTCTCCCACTCTGCCTTTACGTTCGGCATCGAGTCTCACATCAGCCAGTCCAACATCAACGGCGCTCTGGTGCCCCCTGCTGCCCTCATCAGCATCATACAGAAGGGGCTGCAGTATGTGGAGGCCGAAGTCAGCATCAACGAGGTCGGTGTACTCGCCAACGTAATGTCAAGTCAACCTTAAATTATCCTTATTAAAAAAAAACACACACACATTTATTTTTTTGTCTTTTTAGTTGCACAGTTTTTTCTCAATCATCTTACTGTCACATCACAAAAACACACTGGTGGTTCAGTGATTTTGGGCAATTGTATTCATTTTTACCAACAAACTTTTATATTTTTTCTATTTTGTATATCAAAGTTGATGATATCCAGAGATTTTGCCTGAACATAAAATTGTAAATCCTTTTCTGAACAAATCTGATTTTCGTTTTGATTTTTTATTTGATTTTCAATGTTTCCCCTCACCTCTAAAAATTTTCCGCAAATGGTCAAAACTAAAAAGATTGTTTTCGGTGATCATATTCAAACCATTGGGGGAAATGTTTTATGAATGAGATTAAACAAACTATTGTATTAATCATGAAACCACAACATTTAACAAAGCATCACTGATTTCAAAGCAGGCAGCGCTACCGTGTACTAAACTTTGCGCAGACTTTCTTGTATTTTCAATATAATTTCCACTGCAAGAAAGTGGGGAAAATAAAAATCGATTGTCTGCTTTTATCCCAACAATCCTGAGTTTTCATCCTGTATATTCTTTTCTTTGTTTAAATGTTTTCTCTATATTTTTCGTAACCTTTGTGTGTGTGTGTGTGTAGGACGGCACGTTATTCGACGGGCGGCCCATCGAGTCCCTGTCCCTGATCGACGCGGTGATGCCTGACGTGGTGCAGACGCGGCAGCAGGCCTACAGGGACAAACTGGCCCAGCAGCAGGCCGCCGCTGCAGCACCCGCCTCCACCACCGGGGGCAGCATCAGCGGCAGTGCCAAGAACGGAGAGAACACTGCCAACGGGGAGGAGAACGGAGCGCATGCCTTAGCCAGTCAGTACCAATGCACAACACTGAAGACAAACTGTGACCGTGACAGTGGGCACAGGAGGAGGGTTGGGTTTATGTTCTATGGTTTGATGTACAAATACTTGATGGGGCCACTATTACACCAAGAAGATCCCAGGTTTATTCCTTGGGCAGCCTTATTGTGTGGAATTTCTAGCACATCTGGAAGGATTTGCTCTGGTTTCTCTGGTTTAAAAGTACTTAGGTGCTAAGACGCAAGTTTTTTACTCAGTATATGGACTGGCCATGCCTCATGTGAAAGAACCTCTAGAATACAGGCTGCAGGTGCTGGGGTTTACGAGGTGATGATTCAGATCAGAGGCTCATTCAGCTTTCTACTGGCAATCATCTTACCCACCAATATAACAAATTATAACGTAAATGGATGTTAACAATGTTTTTGTAGTTAAAAACACATCTTCATTAAAATTGTTAGCAGTAATTCCTATGTTTAATTTGAACATGGTTACCACAGATGAGTTAAGATTATGAAATTTAAAATCAAACTCTTCATCCAAAAACATCCAGTTCCTTTTTACACAACAAAGCTCATGTCTGTGCCGGGTTAGGGCGGTGAAGCATGTGTAGAGTGTGTACACATGTATAAACAGTCCTTCTCCCTCCTCAGATAACCACTCAGACCTGATGGAGGTGGATGGAGACGTGGAGATCCCTCAAAACAAGGCCATGGTCCTGAGAGGCCACGAGTCTGAGGTGTTCATCTGCGCCTGGAACCCCGTCAGTGACCTGCTCGCCTCAGGGTATGTGATCCACACTCTCCACTGCAGGACACACACTGAGACTGAAACTTAGCTCTGTAAAATATACAAACTATTGTTGAAACTCATGTAATTCCAGCAGTCTGTTGAGGTCATACGATATCCATATATAATATTGTGCCACAGCCTGTATAAACCTCCTCTGAATGACTGTGTGTGTGTGTTGTGCAGGTCTGGAGACTCCACGGCTCGGATCTGGAATCTGAGTGAGAACAGCACGAGCAGCTCCACTCAGCTGGTGCTCCGACACTGCATCAGGGAGGGGGGCCAGGACGTGCCCAGCAACAAGGACGTCACCTCCCTCGACTGGAATGTACGCACACACACACATGCACACACACACATATACACAATACATACATACTGGATTGTGTATCTGTGCCAGTCCAGACACATGTGCCAGGTTGGATTATAGTTCCAATCTCTCAATTGAGCTGATATCCCGTTGGGCCTATAAATGGATGTAATTAGACTGTTTATTGCCCATTGTAAGCTCAGTATGGCTTATAAATGAGGTTTAATCATAGAAAGCTGTTCTGCAGTGCGATTTTCAGTCTCTGCTCTGGTTTTATTTTATATCAGAGATTAGCAGATACTTAAATCCAGAGTATCAATAGTCGTATCGTAACTGAAAAGTTTGGATCTGCACAAAGCTTTCATTCAAAAGTGTTCTGAGACTGAAGAGTGTTACAGGTGTTTACCAGTAGGGACCCAGCAGCTTCTCAGGATGTTTCATGACATTTTATTTACTTTTTAACATAATTTTCTCTGAAGTATCTAAAGAGACATTTTGCTCAGCTCATTTTGTCAATAACGTTTAGTTGGATGTTTTTATACTGAGCTCAATGGGTGGTCAAATTTATCACAACTGCAATATTTCATTTTATACCAAAGTTCTTTACTTTGTATCAACATTTTTGTAGCTCTGTTTTTTTCAAATAACAATTTACCAACAGTATGGAATCGTAGTGTAAACTCTATTGTTAGTTGATTGTAGGCCTATCCGTGCCCACACAATCCTCCAAAATCTGCAGCCAACACAGTAAATAAACACATGATAGAGTAATGAACATAATGCAGACTACATATGATTCTACAATATTTACATGTCTGCATTTATTTACAGCGCAGAGCCGCCCACACACTCCTCTCCCACGCTCACACATACATGTACACATACACATGCAGCTGTAACATACAGCACAATATAAAATGCCTCCAACTCACTTCCTGTTATAATAATACTGGTTTCTTTTTATACAGAGTGAAGGCACGCTCTTAGCAACAGGATCATATGACGGCTTCGCCAGAATATGGACCAAAGATGGTGAGTGGTTCAAAGACATAAAGACATGCCATAGATATTGTTTCATTTAACTTATTTTAACTCGTCTTAAACCTGTTCCAAAAACGATGTATGTATGCTGGTATATTTCTTTATTATCTCATTACAGATCAGTGTATCTCAAAGTGGTACTTGTGTGTTGTAGTTTTGATAATAAATATAATGATGACATGTTGAGTTATTTTATTTGCATACAGTTTTATTTTGCTGTAGTTGTGCTTTAACATTGGACCTTTTATCGGATTTTATTTATACATGAGCAAAAGCAAAACAGTTTAGGAAAAAGTTCTTAAAAAGTTCTTCTTCTTAAAGGTGCACAATGAAATATTTTTGTAGTGGAGGGTGTGTTTCTATGGAGATGTTAACACGTTACCCAGAATGTTTCACAGTATAAGTATTTTTAACTTACTTATCGCGTGGAGATGAGCAAGTGACGATTGCAGGTGGAGTTGCAAGTTAAACTGTTATTTTTTTTTATATAGAACTGAACAAATGTAAGAAGATAAATAAATAGATTTGATGCTATACTACGTGACATTTCAGAAAAAGTAATAACAGCTCTATAGAGACGCGTAAACCCCCAGAAAAGTGACATAATGCCACTTTTAATAAGAGGAAATACATGTTAAAATGTGGGTAAAACATCATTGCCAGTTAAGGTACAAATATACACATTTTGGTGCTGTTGTAGATCTTATTTTAATCCAGATTTTGGCGCTGATTTATGTGTGGAAAGCAAATAGTGACGGTTTAATTCTTGAACCAACACTGCCCTCTAGTGCCGCTTTAGTATTTTGCGTCACGTCTGCTTTTTCTCTGTGACAGGCGTTAATAGTGGCAGACGGTCCTTTCTCTCCTCTCACCATGTGTTGTGTTTTTACAGGTAATCTGGCCAGCACACTGGGCCAACACAAAGGACCCATCTTTGCTCTAAAGTGGAATAAAAAAGGCAACTTCATCCTGAGCGCCGGAGTAGATAAAGTAAGACATGCCATCTGACTGAAACCTGCATTTAGAACATAGTAGTTTTACTTGGAAATATTTTGTTTTCATATATTTTTACTGAGTAATACAAAATGCAAAGTAAAGAGAGATGACTAAAGTATTTTGTTAATATAAAATGACTTAAAGTAGATATTTTGACTAATGAAAGCTGAACAAAAATGAAGATGTAAGCGTCTTGTTTTCAATTGCAAACTTGACATTCTATGAAACAATGCAATATATTTATCATAGTTGTAAAAACAATAACATTTGAATTAATGAATGAATGTTTATTCAGACAGTAATACATAGAACATGCATAGAAAATGTAAATACATACAGTAGATATCACACAAAAAGTAAATATTTCTTTTCTGTAATAATAAGTGAAAAATAAATGTCAAGCAGATTTTACTTGTGTCCGAAAAAGGTGTATAATATCTGTTTGATTTAGAATTTAGTTGACTAAAATGAGACTACAATTTTAAAGAAATATATTAGTAAATGTAACAATTTTTTATTTTTTTTTTAAATTAGGCCTTTTAACGATACTTTTTCTCATGTGACTTTTACTTTTTTGGAGTGCCTGGATTTTTTAGTGTTAAGTTTCTTTACCAATATGGATTGACAGACTTGAAGTACCTGCCAATACTCAGTATTAGGAGTGTAACAATAACCAAAATATTGTATCGTATCGTTAAGTCTCTCAGTAATATCGTGGACCATCACACTATATCGAATCATAAGTTTCTTTGCTTAAATTCATTGTGATGGTGCAGCAAGTAGCTAAGAAAATAGGGAACTACATAGACCAGGGGTGTCAAACATACGGCCCACGGGCTGGATCTGGCCCTCCAAGACCTTTAATCTGGCCCTCGTCTGATTTTCTACTAAAATATTTTAATTATATTTTAAAACCTGAAGACAGAACAGAAGACAGAATTTGCAGATTTTCACACACCATTGACAGTCAAAACCTCTAATGGGCCCGCAGTCATGCAACTAGAAATAATAGATTTACAGTTACTACCTTTGTGAGCAGGTTTTCTCAGGAATGAACATTAATAAAATAAAGCTGCACTCAAAGCTAAACACAAGCACTTGAATGACATTCTGAAGACAGCAGCTACTCAGGACATGGTGCCTGATATTGATGCATTTGTGCAGGCTAAAGATGCCAAGTTTTAGGAGCAAAAAGAAAGCATGACTAAATTCTAAGAAATGCATGCAAGGTAATGGTAAAACATTGTGTTGAAATTGCATTTTTCTTAAAGTTTCAGGTTGTTCATAATATTATAATATTTTGTAAAAAAGTTCATCAATTAAAAAAGATTTATGTAATAGATTTGTGGTTCTCTTTACAAATATTTGAACTTAATGCTATTTTTGGGGCATATATGCCATGAGTTTTTTGATCCAGCCCCTTTGGGATCAAAGTAGGTTGGATATGGCCCCAGGACCTAAAATGAGTTTGACACCCCTAACATAGACCATGATGCTTTGCTCCATTTTGGTGCAAACTACATGAAGAAATAGAAGTTCTAAGCACTTTTAAATCTTAGTTCTTCGAGTTCAGTCTTGTCAAGGCGTTTTAAGAGGAAAAGGAGTTGCATATTCACAATTTTGTTTGCCTCCACAAAATATCACAATAAATACTGTACCGTGAGATGTATATCGTGAAAATATTGTACCATGAGATTTGGATTTTGTTACATCCCTAATCAGTATCAACCAATCCACACAGAGAAAATATAATCTGAAAAACGCTGACACAACTGGCCTAAATATGTTCAAGTAACTGCTGCTTTTTTAATAAATAAAAGTTGGCTCCCTATGTTCTGTTCTGTGCCAGTAACTCCAGGAAACAGTCTAATTTTATCAATTTATTGGCCCGAGTATGTCAGTACTCTGGAACATGTAGCAATTTTAAATTTACTATTCTTCTTTTTATAGATAAGAGAGGATAAAAATAATTAGACAAGATTAAAACCAACTAAAAATATACTGTCAGATTGTAGTTTGGTTTAGAGATTGACTGATTTGCTGATTGTTTTTTTTTTTTTTAAATGCTAAAAAGACCAAATATCGGCAAACTAATATTAATCTATCTCTTACTGCTTTGTACTAAGTTGTGTGTTTGTGTGACATAGACTACAATCATATGGGACGCCCACACAGGAGAAGCCAAGCAGCAGTTTCCTTTCCATTCAGGTGTGTGCTCTTGTCCTGTCGAGTTCTTAATCATGTGCTGTATGGACTTGACTGTAATGTAAGCTCGTGTATTCTCCGCACACAGCTCCAGCTCTGGACGTGGACTGGCAGAGCAACAACACTTTTGCGTCGTGCAGCACAGACATGTGTATCCACGTGTGCAAACTGGGACAGGACCGGCCCATCAAGACATTCCAGGGACATACAGTGAGTGCTCCTCTTCATCACTATGCTCCACTCGTCCACAGCGCAGACACAGATCTTTGAAACTATGGGAGCTGTAGTAGAGCTGCACAGTATTGACATAAAATCAAAGTGGTGAATTCTAATTGGACTAAAAAAAAAATTGCAATTGTTTGGACACACTTTTTTTTACTCCCATTGATTATTTACACAGACTCTAAATGGATGCATCAGAACTATAAATGGACACATGTGGAATGTAGTAAACAAACACTTGTTTTAGAGTTTTTTAAAATAGCCACCCTTTGCTTTGAACCCTGGTTTGCGCTCTTGACCTGACGTGGCGCAGCTGTGAATTGAAGACCATTTCAGCTCACTGAGAAGAAGGCCAAAGGGGGGCAACTTTGAGTATTTGAATATAAAATATAAAATCTTTTAGTTCAGTTACTTCACTTTTTTCTACATACATCCACATACCGTATTTTCCGGACTATTAGGCGCTCTGGATTATAAGACATTAAATGGTCTATTTTCAAACTTTTATCACAAATAAACCGCACCAGTTCGATGGGTCAGTGGGACTTTGTTTTGCGCGTTCACGGTGACTCTGGGCTTTGTTCAGTTGTGGCGTGTAGGGAGGGTGCTGTCTGGGACCGCTGGATTGTTGGTGTGTTCGCAGTGACTCAGTTGTTCAGTTTTGTCTAGAAGTGGCACATTGCACTCGCTTTTTTCGGTTCGTTCCTCCGTTCCGTTCCTCGTCGGCGTGGAGTGATGAGTGTGGCTGCAGGTGTTTTTCGCTGCTCGGTCGCTGTCTGCTCCGTGTGTGTTTGCGTGCGCTGCAGGTGGTGCGGCTTTGTAGTTTACTGAAGTCGTGCTGGGACACCCTAGTGGATTCGTGTATAGGGTGCTCTAGATTGTAGGGTGCGCAGTAGTTTTTTGATGGGGCTGGGCGCGCTCTTAAGCTTCCAATAGCCCAGAAAATACAGTATCTTGCTTTATATATTTGTCTGCTGTATGTATATAAAATACAGATAATAAAACTATTGCATTATTACTTTAAAAAGTAGAAGTCTGTTGAGTGCACTTTGTAAACAACACCAGGAGCGTTAACATTTGAGAGAAATCTGAACTGACAAATTAGTACAATAGAGATGTAACAATAACCGAAATATTGTGATATCATATCGTCAAAAGTCTCACAATAATATTGTGGGCTGTCACAATATATCGAATCACAAGTTCCTTTGCTTAAATGCATGGTTTTATCGTGGTAACAGCTTATAAACGTCGGAAACTACATATCCCATGATTCATTTCAGTGCAGAAAACATGAAGAGATATGTTTTTTACTTGAAGTTCTTGGGATTATAATGGAAATAATTCACACCAAAATCTTGTCAAGGTATTTTAAAAGCACAAAAGAGTGCCATCAACAATTATACTAGCCTCTCCAAAATATCGCAATAAATATCGCTCAGTGAGAAGCATATTGTGATAATATTGTGCTGTGAGGTTTGGACATAGTTACATTCCTATAACACAAGAATCCCATGCATTTCAGAATATGTTTGTAAAAGTCCAAACTGCAGGAGAGTAAAATGTCCTCTGCAAAGAACAAAGTACTCTGTTGTCTTTTTATGGTCTTCAAAAAAAAAGAAAAAGAGTATTATTTTCTTTGCAGAGGACATTTTACATCTAACAATATCCCCACTCTGCTGCAACATCCAACAACTGCAGCATTTACGATTTCATAATTGCACCAACTCAAGTTGAAAATCTGATATATTGTGCTGTCCGACACTGTAGTTCCTCCATAAGTTCCTCACCACTCAGGGTTGTAACTCGTCACATTTACTGCCGTTTTAGTGTATTATTTGTAATAAAATATGAACGCATATGTTCTTTTTAGTGTAGCATAAATTAAGGTTAAAAGCACAATTCCTCAGGCGAAAGTAGCAAATGGGACTGTATGTATTCGTTAACACGGTGAAAATGAGACAGTAATGGCGAGTTATCTAGTGCTAAGGAAAATGTATTTAAGTCTTGTGCTACTGTGGTTTCTATTAAAGCTAATGCTCCGAGCCAGTGTAGATGTTTTAAAGTGGACAATTGGTCTGTAATGAGCTCACAAATGTTTCCGTACGAGCTCTCCAGCACAACGCCAAACACTGAGGGAGTTCATCACCGTTTAAACTAGTTCTCTTTCATACTTCTCTCTCTTCATTTTTTTTAGAATGAAGTAAATGCAATCAAGTGGGACCCCACGGGGAACCTGCTGGCCTCCTGCTCAGACGACATGACGCTAAAGGTCAGTTGTACCAAGTCTGCACAGCTTCTCATTAGGAGTTTTAAACTGTTGTCTTAAGATGGAGCACCTACTAAACGCTTTCTTTGTTTTTTTCTTTCTCTCAGATCTGGAGTATGAAGCAGGACTCGTGTGTCCATGACCTCCAGGCTCACAGTAAAGAAATCTACACCATCAAATGGAGCCCCACTGGCCCCGGAACCAACAACCCCAGCGCTAATCTCATGCTAGCAAGGTATTACTGCTGTTCTTCTCTTTCACTCTACAATGGAAAATTAATAAAATGTTAAGACTTATTGAAAGATTGATACAATACATACCTCGATACATGGGCCACGATACAATACATATCTTGATACAGTGCACTTTCGGTTCGATAAGATATGTTTCAAATTGATTCGGTACAGCGGTTCAATAAAAAATAATGTCGAAATCATGGCTGTGATACTAAAATCTTTGTTAAACCACTTCTTGTGCAAAGTTCATATGAAACACAAACATTTTAATCATCAAAACAGTGAAAATGTCAAATGTGTTGCATAAACAAGTTTCATTCCTCTGAACAAGTAACAAAACTGTAGCTCTAACAAAATAATTTTGTAAAATATACCAAAAAATACTCTTGATGATATATCGATACAGTAGCCCACGATATCGATACTGTATCATCAAATTAAACGATACGATATATAGATATTTTGATATTTTTGCACACCCCTAGTCAGAATGCCTAATAAATGTAAGGTAGATCCGGTTAAAGCCATACTATGGAATATTCCAGGCAGAGCAATGACATAAAAAACGCAGATGACAGACCCCTAACCTAAAAGTTACACAATGCACAATGCAAATAAAAGAAATATGTTGTTTTGTTTGGTAAAAATGGTAAATTTTTTTAAGATTGATGTATTTTGAAAAACTCCAGAAGCGTTAAAAATGTTAGAACCAAGCATTATCAAGTCTTGTCATAATACTAACCTCTCCCCGTCTGTGTGCAGTGTATTGACTAGGGGTGTGCAAAAATACTGAAATATCGATATATCGTATTGTTTAATTTGATGAAACTGTATGGATATTGTGGGCTGCTGATATATCATCAAGAGTAATTTTTTGGTATATTTTACTAATTTATTTGGTGTAAGAGCTACAATTGTGTTGACATTTTCACAGTTTTGAGTAAAAAGGGTGTTTTTCATCTTAACGTTGCACAGACTTGGTGGACTTAGTATAACAGCTGTGATTTAGACTTTGTTTTTCACTGAACTGTATCGAATCAATTTGAACTATATCTAAGGCTGCGTTCAGACTGCAGCCTGAAGTGACCCAAATCCGATTTTCTGGCTTCTATGTGACCTGTATCTGATCTTTTAATGACAGTCTGAACGACACAGATCCGATTTTTTCAAATGCGACCCAGGCCACTTGGATATGTGCTCCTAAAACCGATACATATCTGATCTTTTGACATGCGACTTCAGTGTGAACGGCCAAAGCGCATTCATTCGACCTGCACGTTATCAACAAGCCACAAACGTCACTATTCTGCGCTGAAGTTGGCGAAAATTGTTAATGAACTCTGTGTCACTGAAACGAAGCACATCGTCACTCACCACTCTTGGCTCCGTCTCCACATCCACACGTTCCTTTCAACGGACGTCGCTGCCGCTGTCCCACAAAACGCCACAGCCAAAAACCTTCTCCTTCTTCTTCTCAATCTCCTCCTTAAAACAAGTAAGTTGTTCATGTTCGGGCTCTGGTAGGAGGAACTTTAAAATCGCCAGGTGCTCAATGCTCGCCTCCATGTTTGGACAACTTCTGTAAACACAGAGCACGCTCGCTGCGGTTGACGCCATCGTGTCCTCCAGTGCACATGCGAGACACTTTCGGGCCGTTTACTGTTCACACTGGAGTCACATACAAGTCGCATTTAATTGGAAATGTGAACAACCTCGCAAAAACATCGGATTTCACAGAAAAATCGGAATTGAGCATTAAGCCCTGCTGTCTGAACGTAGCCTAATCGTATTGAATCGAAAGTGCACTGTATCAAAAAGCGTATCATATCGGCAACTTTAATCATACCCAGTCTTAGTATTAACCTAACACTTCTCCGTCTCTCCCCCTCTGTGTGTGTGTGTGTGTGTGTTTGTGTTTGTGCAGTGCATCGTTTGACTCGACAGTGCGTCTGTGGGACGTGGAGCGGGGCATCTGTATCCACACTCTGACCAAACACCAGGAGCCCGTGTACAGCGTGGCCTTCAGCCCGGATGGCAGACACCTGGCCAGCGGCTCCTTCGACAAGTGTGTGCACATCTGGAACACGCAGGTGAGAGAACCGGCCATCGGATTTAAATACAACAGTACGGGGAAGGGCAGGGAGGGAGGACATGTACACGGGTAATAATTTTGTTAGACCAAATGAAGCACTATTTTAGATGTGGGTTAACTTTAGTGTAGTTGGTATTAAATTGATTCTCTACCAGGTTAAAAGTCCCATATTATGCAAAAAAACTGACTCTCATGAGCTTATGTTGGTAGTTCCTCAAAAACATACCTGGATTTGTGTTTTGTTTAATTCACACATGTTTGAAGAATCCTTTATAATCAATCTGTCTGCATCTCCAAAGCTCAAAATGCTCTTTTCCACCTTGTAATGTGATCTTTGATTTTTAATTCAGTAGAGATCAGCAATTCTAGGGCTAAAATCATCTAAGTGAATTAGTGAAAGTGTTTGGAGTGGAAAACTATATCGAATCTCAAGTGTCTTTGCTTAAATTTGTTGTTATGATGCAGCAACAGCTAAAAAAAACGGTGAAAACTACATAGACCATGATCCTTTGCTCTGTTTCAGTACATTATACATGCTGAAATAACTGTTATTAAGCACTTTTAAAGCTTAATTATTTGGATTATGATGAGAGAAAAGTAGCATATTCACACTTTTGTTCGCCTCAACAAAATAACGTAGTAAATATCGTACCGTGAGATGCATATTGTGAAAAAAATGTCAGGTTATTCATCTTGTTTTCAGATTTATTATGTACTTAATAGTTCTGAGACTGCTGAATTCTAGTCTAGAGGTAGTTAATTTTAAGATAACTTGCCAAGTAAAATTATTTGTCCATGCAGCAACATAATTTCACTACTTTTAAGTCATTTTCTGATAGAGTTAAGTGTTTATATCGTAAGCAATCTGTGTATCGTTCGTTTATTTGTTTTTCAAAATACACCAAAATAAACAAAAATAAAAAATAAAAACATTTTCTTCAGTATTTGTCCAAAATGAACCAAAAACCAAAATGAAAAAAAACAGATAACAATTCATTTTTTTAGGTTTTCGATTTTGTGTTGAAATGAATAATGGAAAAAAAACAGAACGACCACTTCCTGTTTCCGTTAACGAACTGAACCAGGACTGAACCAGGACTAAACCATTTTCAGTCCCAGCCTCAGTCCCGGCCTAAGTCCCAGATCTGTTTTAGTCCTGATTCAGACCTGTCTTAGACCTGTTTCAGTCCTGTTTTAGTCCTGTTTTAGACCTGGTTCAGACCTGTCTTAGTCCTGTTTTGGTCCTATTTTAGTCCTGTCTTAGTCTTTCTTCAGTCCTGGTTCAGTCCGGTCACAGTTTAAGTGACATAAACGCAAAACTGTTATTATCCGTTTTTTCCATTTTGGTTTTGAAGACAAATAATGAAGAAAATAGGTACTTTTTCATTTTCTTAGTTTTGGTTTTATTTTGAAAAACGAACGAACGAACGATACACAGATTGTAAGCAGTTTTTGCCACACCCTCAGCACGACTTATAACGATCCTTAATTTACTGTTGTGTTTTGCAGACGGGAGCTTTAGTCCATAGTTACAGAGGGACAGGGGGCATCTTCGAGGTTTGTTGGAACGCAGCGGGAGACAAAGTGGGAGCCAGCGCGTCAGACGGATCTGTGAGTGCCCCTCTATTACGGCAATTACGGTAAAACCCTCGGCAAATCGCAAACCTTACCTTTACTTTTCTCTTCTTCCGCCTCAGGTATGTGTACTAGACCTGCGGAAATAGTGCTGTGCCGTTGGAAGCCATGGACCGACCGTGAATGTGTACATAGCCAAAAGACTGTCCCCGCCCCTCACTCTGGCTCCGCCCACTCACACACAGGAAACAGGAAGTGGGGAAACAGGAAGCAAGCACCGACAGAAGCAGAAGCAGGTCCAAAACCCAGGGCTGAACCAATGGACGTATGGACACAGGGCGGCTCTTACACTCTCTCTCTCCGTCTGCCCCAAAACGCAGAGGAAAGTCGAGAGAGGAAAAAGACAAAAAACATCCATATATGTACCAAAATCTGGAAGCTATTTTGCTTTTTTGATCTTTAAACCATGTCATCAAAACGAAAACGGACAAAATGGTGTTCTTTGTTACTAGTTGGACTTCATTGTGCGACATATCAAGATCTCCACTAAATAGGATGGCACTTAGAATTTTTTTTTAAATTTCAAATCCAATGTTTTAAATGTTTTTTTTTTCTTTTTTTTTTTTTTTTTATTTACTTTTTTTTTTTTTGTAACTTTTTTTTTATCTTTCAGGAAGGCCAGGACTGTTCAGCTCACCGCACAAAAGAATGCGATTACAGACAATTTTAAAAAGTCACATAATTACAGTTTTTAAATCAAACTTAAACTTACAAACTCAATAAAACAACTAAAAAAAATAAATAAAATCAATATTAGTAATCTGAATGCTTGTGATTTTTACCGTCGCTTGATCTCGCGCAATAATAAATGAATAATGAATTATGCAAATGAAAATTTTATAAAATGTTAATGGTCAACTTCTCGCTTTTTAAACAATGAATCAAATTTAAAGAGGAGGTATTACACTTCTATCGGGCATTAACTTCTAACGCACACATATTTAGATCACCATGTTACTTTAATTGTTTTGAAAATTCTGTATTCGCATTGGACGACATCGAAAACCTCTTCAGGCATGTTTTTGATGAGGGATCGACGTTATAACATGGTAGAAATCTTCAAAAAGTCGTTCTAACATGATAGAAAGCTCCAGAAAATCTTTCTAACATGGTAGAAATCCTCAAGAAGTTGTTCTAACATCTTCAAAAAGTCTTTCTGAAATATTAGAAAGCTCCAAAAAGTCTTTATAACATGGGAGAAATCTTCAAAAAGTCTTTCTAACATGGTAGAAAGCTCCAAAAAGTGTTCCTAACATCTTCAAAAAGTCGCTTTAGCGTGATAGAAAGCTCCAGGAAATCTTTCTAACATGGAAGAAAGCTTCAAAAAGTCATTCTATCGTCTTCAAAAAGTCTTTCTGAAATGGCAGAAATCTCCAAAAAGTCATTCTAACATCTTTGGAAGCTCCAAAAAGTTGTTCTAACATGGGAGAAAACTCCAGAAAGTCTTTCTAATATGGGAGAAATCTCCAAAAAGTCTTTCTAACATGGTAGAACTCTTCAAAAAGTTGTTCTAACATGACAGAAAGCTCCAAAAAGTCATTTTAAAATGGTAGAAAGCTCGAAAAAAGTCTTTCTAAAAAAGTCTTTCTAACATGGTAGAAATCTCCAAAAAGTCGATTTTGCGTAGTACCTCCTCTTTAAGAACTTGCCTAGCCACCAAAAAAGACCAACTATGAGTTTACCAATGAAATATGGTCTGCATCAGATTGAAAGTGTTGGTCTAAATATTTTGTCCTAAATATTGACAATAATTGTATTTGACGTTTTTGTTTTAGCTGAAATTGGGGCTGTTTTACGATTTAAAATCCAGAATTTACACAAGTTTCATTTTCTGTTAAGAGTTCACATCTTTTTTTGTGAATACTGAGCTGAACATTTCTGGTTAAATCCCTTCAACAATTACCACAGAATTTAAATTTCTGCTTTTAAAAAAGTGTTTATTTGAATTTGTCTTTTTCAGGACGTTTCAGCCTCAAACTTTATCCACAATTCAAATTAGGATTTTTGCAATTTTTGCTCTTACATGCTACCTGTAGTTACTCCTTTATAAGCTGGGCATTACTTAAAACATTATAAAAACGTACAAATTAAAATATTGAATTTTAAAGCGGAAACGTCTATTTTTTTTTCCCTCCAGACGTTTCAGCCTCAAATTCTGTCTAAAATTCATAGGATTTAAAAAAAATGTGTCCCCAATGACTACCTGTAGTTGCTCTTTAAATAACTGGGCATTACTTAAAACATTATCCCAAAAATACAAGTGAAAATCTAAAATTTCTAACTGGAAACTTGGATGTTTCAGCCTCAGATTCTTGACTCAATTCAAATTAAGATTTTCACTATTTTCATCCCCAAATGTCTACCCGTATTTGCTCCTTTATTAACTGGGCATTACTTAAATCATTATCCTAAAAAATGTGAATGAAAATATAAAATTTGTAACCTGATGAAACGTCTTGTAAAAACTTCAAATAGTCACTTGCGCCCTCGTCACTACCACACGTTTAACAAGAGTTCATTTTGTTTTTGTTGACTTTGCATCCTATTGATCTGTTCCAATTCAAATCAGATCAGTCCAACTAAAGTCAGAATAAAATCTATTTTGATAAGAATCCTGAGAATCATGTGTGTTTTTTTTTAAACATTTAAAGCTGCACTGTGTCACTTTTTTCCAGTACGAGGCCCGCCAGCTGTTTGTGGAAGTATTGTGGAACATTCCAGGCAAAGCAAGTCTCCATGGAGACGATATATCTCTATTAATTTAAATATATAAATATAAAGTTGTTTTTATTACTACTACTGCTACTGCTACTTTTATTACTACTACTACTAATACTACTATTACTCCTACTTTTAATACTACTACTACTGCTACCACTACTACTGCTAGTGCAACTTTCATTATTACTACTACTACTACTACAACTGCAACTTCTACTTTTATTACTATTACTACTACTACTGCTAATTTAATTACTACTACTACTACTTTTATTACTACTACTACTCCTACTACTACTGCTTTTACCACTACTGCTACTACCACTGCTACTTTTATTACTATTACTACTACTGTTATTACTTCTACTACTTCTTTTATTACTACTACAACTGTGGCTACTTTTATTACTACTACTACTACTACTACTACTTCTTTTATTACTTACTCTACTTTTATTACTGCTACTTTTATTATTACTACTACTACTTCTACTTTTACTACATTGTGCAGTAAAACACCATTCAAAATTTGCATTCTAACTGAGTAGGCCCCCTGTCCATAGATCTGATTTGTCACTGATTTGACCTGCGTCTCCTGTCCACCAGAAAAGTTCCGTAGTGCACGTTTAATCCAGTTTGATGAAAATCCGTCTCTGCAGCAGGAAAAATGGAAAATCTTGTGTACAACAATTTTTATTATGACAATGTTTAAACTCCGCCACAGAAAGATCGACTGGGTAAGAAACGGTTTCCTGATTGTTTTTTCTTCCAGATATTTGTATTCATCAATATATTTAGAAGAACTAAGTTTCTGACAACGTTTGTCGGCATCGCTTTCTTGTTTCCATGGTGATTTTGCGGAACATTCTAGGCAAAACCAACAGACAACCCTCCACCTAAAAACATTCTCACTGAGCGTGCGATCACCTTTTAACAGATGTAACCTGTAACTTGGCCTCATGGTGTCACAGAGAAATGCAATATTATGGAACATGGCAGCCTATCTCCATGGCAACAAGTAGGTGATGGCGTACAGTGGACTCTTTACCCAAAAAAGTTACACAGTGCGCATTTAAAATCAACAAATGAAGCCAGAAGTGCCTCAGAAATTGCTCTGATAATTTGCAGCTGAGGGCATCAACATTCCCTGGGATTGTGATGCTAACCTGAAGCACTGCTCTGTCTGAGGCGAGTTAGACTTTAATTTGAGTTTTGGTTTAACACAACTTGACCAGAAAGAACTAACTTAGTATAAATCATCTCACCTTTTTTTGGCTGTTTGATAATTAGGGATGGGACAAGACAAAATTTCAAAACTTTTCCATGACTTTTTCATGACCTAAAATGTATTTTCCATGACTTTACGGCCCCTGCATGTGTAGAATTGATCAGACTTTTAGGGCTAAATATGAAATTGAAATGTTCACCCTTTCCACTCACCTTATGGTTTGGTCTTATAGTTTTTTAACATTCAAAATACTGTCAATTAGGGATGTAACCATAACCAAAATATTGTGATATCATATCGTCAATCTTAAATCGTAAAATATCGTGGACCATCACAATATATCGAGGTACAAGTCTCTTTGCTTACATTAAGAGTTATGGTGCAGCAATAGTTAAAAAAAAAAAAGACAGAAGGAACTACATAGACCATGATCCTTCGCTCCATTTCAGTGTAGACTACAAGAAGAATGACCAGTTCTAACACTTTTAAGTCTTAGTTCTTCAGATTAAGTCTTGTCGAGGCATTTTAAGAGGAAAAAGTAACATTTGTTCGCCTCCACAAAATATCGCAATAAATATCGTACCATGAGGTTCATACCGTGACGATATCGTATCGTGAGACTTGGATATCATTACACCCGTAGCGTCAGTGCATTTATTGTCGTCTCTTTCAAACAAAAGGCGCATATGTTTGGAAATAATCATAATAGCCTAATGATAACTTAACAGAACGCTGCAGTTGCGTGAAAGAGATACTAAACTTCCATGACTTTTCCAAAACTTTCATTGAATTTACGAAAAGATCTCTAGAGAAAATTGTCAAGAGATTGCGCACACATGAGAAAAATTACCTTGTGAGATTTTTTTCCCTCCTGAATTTACTTTGTGAATCAACTTTAGACTAAAAAAAAAAAGAGTCAAGAGCTGGTGAGTTACGCAATTTGAGAAGCTATAGTTTGAAAAAGCAGCAGAACAGTTAAAAAAAACATAAAATAAAATAAATAAAAATCATGAAACCAGAATTGTGAAATGGATTGCACAATTTTTACTACAAATTATGTCAAAATCTCGTCTTTTCTCGTTCTCGTGGACCTAATCCCGTGGTCTTGTAAAAACTGTGTCTCGTCCTAAAGTGTGCATCGTGTCACCTTGGTAACCACAGAAACATTCCACCATAGAAGTACACGTAGAACCACCCCCAGCATGACGTCACTGCAAAATATCATCATTCGTGAAATCATTCTATGCCTATAATCTGAACTTTGTACCAGAGAAAAAAAAAATTGCATATTTTTATTTTTGAAGTCAATATTGTGCATCTATATACATCACATCGTCCGAGTCTTTTCCCAAACACGAGACAAAGCAGCAGGTTGGTGGTTCAAATCTCAAAACACTTCAATCACGTTGCCATCTCCAGTTGCAACAGGAAGGGCATCCGGTGATTTTTTTTACAGTAAAAATGATTAAGTCTTTGCACAGTTCAGCTCCAAAGTGACTTATTTACACGGATTTCCAAATGGTCCATGCTCGTCGCGAGTCAAGCACATGCACAAGAAGAATCAGCTGAGAAAAGTGAACAGTGAACGTAAGAAAATGTAAAAAAAATGAAAACATGAACACTGAGTAGAAAGCCTTTTAAAAGAGTCTGTTTTTTTGGCACATGGAAGGAGCGGGAACATGATCATAGTTCGTAGCTGCGTGTTGACAAAGCCGTACTTCTAGTTTTCATTTCAAATCGCTTCACTTTCCACAAAGGCCTAAAACAAGAAATCTGTTGAAATGAAAGGCAGGGCTGTATTTCATAAACACGTCATTTAAAAATTCCTAAAATGCAAATCTGCAGAAAAGTGCATATGACAGGTTTTCATATTTTTCTTATTATTTCTTGGTTTAGTGCGACAGTACATGTGCTAAAGATTTATTTATTTATATATATTTTTTACAACAGTTAAGCGATATTTTCAGTAGTCTAAGTCACAGGTGTCAAACATAAGGCCCGGGGGCCAGATCCGGCCCTCCAAGACATTTAATCTGGCCCTCGGCTGTTTTTCTACTAAAATATTTTAATTATATTTTCTATTAAAATCTTGGTAATTTTCTGTGTTGTTTATCACAGCAGCGTCTCCAGCGTCTCTGTACGTGGCCCCTCCCACCAGAGCAGCACAAATGAAGACTTGTCTCTTTCCAAAAGCTCTTAAAGGACGATCGTTTTGACTGTTGACCGTGACACCCTCATCAGAAAAATGTCCAACATGAGAAAAGTGGAGCCGAGTGCAGGATTTTCCAAGAAAAATTGACTTATTCCTATTTGCATAGAAGTTCATGTTAAAACTTCGTGTTGAAATTGCATTTTTCTTAAAGTTTCAGGTTGTTCATAATAATAATATTTTGTAAAAGAAAGAGTTCATCAATTAAAAAAGATTTCTGTAATAGATTTGTGTTTCTCTGCACAAATATTTGAACTTAATGTTATTTTTGGGGTTTATATGACATGAGTTTTCTGATCCGGCCCCTTTGGGATCAAAGTCGGTTGGATACGGCCCCCGGACCAAAATGAGTTTGACACCCCTGGTCTAAGTAATGGAACTATATTATTATCTACGTTATTATTAAGTATAAAAACTAAGCAAGTATTAAAGAAAACCTACTGTGCGTTTGTCTGCTATAAAGTATAATCCAGGGGTCTCCAACCTGTCACCGAGGAGTTATTAGTTACTCTCCACCCCCTTCCAAATAGCTCTCTAATGGATTTCTGAAAAATGTACTGTGCTGAACAACTCAAATTTGATTAATTGCTTTTGTAAATGTCTAATTATCTTTGTAAATGTCTAATTGACGCCTCTTATATTTACTCAGTTTCTTGCGACTGTTAAATGAGCTTTCTGGTGTTTTCAGAGGATGATGATTGAGAGCTCTGGTATAATCTACGACACCCATGGATCATTATGTTATAATTTGCACATTTTAAATTGCAGTATTAATTTAATGTTACTTAGGGCCTGTTTACACGAGAAAGCTTGCAGGTGAAAATGACAAAATACTCTGCCTTTTGTTTAGACGGTGACGGTGTTTTTGGGGCTTAAAAACGCAAAAATCTGAAAGCACCGTCCAGAGTGGAAACGTTAAATGCGCTCCGCCGTAGAGTTTCCGTCTACACTGCCCAAGACGCAAAACTCTGCTCAGATCTGCTCACGTCGCGTACGTGTTTACGCCACATACGTCACCACCGAGCCGCCTGGCATACAGACCCAATCGAATTCCACATACTTTTGCGTCACTGTAGGCACGCAGATTTCCTCCCGAAAATGCTTGTCTGAACGCAGAATAAAAAGTGGAGATGTGGCGCCACTTTTGCGTCATCATATATCACTCATCATATAAACGTAGCCTAAATAAAAGAAAAAAGTCTGAGGTGCTCAATGGGAGCTGACGCCACTGTAAACGTTATCACAAAGAGAAAGAGAAGTGGAGCTGTCGGCATCTTTGATAAATAACTACAGATCACACTAGTGAGCAGTAGATTTCTTTTCATTTGTGCCAAAATGACGATGTGATGCTACCAAACCCTACGCATATCACTGATTAAGAAAATAAAATTGGAGTACGAAGTAAGTACGTCACAGTGGGACATGTACTGGAGGGCAGCAGTGAAAACGGACGG